GATGATTTTCAAAAATAAAAAAAAAAATTTGCCGAGTGCCTGACGCTGGCACTCGGCAAAATAAGTTTTAAAAAATTAAAAAAAAATTTGCCGAGTGCCCAAGGTTTACACTCGGCAAAATAAGTTTTTAAAAATAATAAAAAAAATTTTGCCGAGTGCCATCCGTTAGGCACTCGGCAAAGTCTGACGGCAGATGCCCACCGTCACGGGCCGGCCACCTTTTGCCGAGTGGGACTTTTGCCGAGTGCCGCGGTACTCGGCAAAGCCTAGATTTGCCGAGAGCCAGGCTTTGCCGAGTGCATGGCGCTCGGCAAAGCCACGTTTGCCGAGTGCTTTATTTTGCCGAGTGCGGCACTCGGCAAAATATTTCTTTGCCGAGTGCCCCGATAAAAAGCACTCGGCAAAGTCTCAGGCACTCGGCAAAGTACAGTTTTCCAGTAGTGAACCCTTGGATTTTGCAAGACGAAGATGACTCACACCAAGAATTTAAACCGGGCCCAGTAGTGGAGATGGAAAAGAATTTGAGGAATTTAGATTGGGAATCTGACGATGATGAGAGCGCCATGGACATTAAAAATTATTGCGATACGACAGTGGAGGAGGAAAAGAATGTAGATTGGGACACTGATGATGAGGACGCCGTGGATATTAAAGATTACTACGATACAGAAAATACATGAGTCTCTGATACTTGGATTCCATACCTACAAAGAGATTGTGTTCTTACGCTCTTCGAGAGTCGTGGCATATCATTTTAGCACATCCAAGGTCCAAGATTTAGGCGAGTTATGCCTCAAATATCCTGAGAACATAGGACGTATAGCTTTCATATATAGGGCATGTTCGCTTGGAGGAATTTGGATGGTTTAGAGGAATACTGGAAGAATGTGTGAGAGAAAAACACTGTTCCAGATAAAAAAAAAAGTGGACCAAGCCAGGTTTAAGAGCACGCGAACGGGGTCATACACCTTGTTGGGTTGGAGACTTGTCTGAAAATAGTTAGATCAAAATCATCACAGGGTTATTAAGTTAGGCTCCATATGTGATGTACTACAATTATCCTCACAAGAGAAAAATATGTGATACACATGTACATTGGTGCGGTGCCATTCGATTGGAACTTTTTTTGAGTGAGCCTTTCTTTTTTTATTTGTTTTTTAAAGCGTTATTTCTCTTTGTTAAGAGCATATAGCATATACAAACTGGATGGGTCACTAATGGAAACTAGGATTTCCCTGTCGGTTCGAAACCGACACAAAAATGCAAAATACCGACCGGAAAAATAGGATTTTAATTTTTCTGTAGGTGTACCGACAGGAAAACACCGCCAGATATTTTGTCGGTGCGTCAATTTCCTTGTTGGTACGACGTCGATAGAAAAATTCGAGGACGTCGATAGGAAAATTCAGTCACATTAGGTTTAGATTTTCAATAACCCGACAGCAAGAAAAATAGGATCTACAAAACAATTTCAGTTTGAATTTAAATTAATTATACAGTAGTTTTATTCATGTAACACATTATAAGTCACAAGTACATAATTGAGACCATCAGTTAGAAATATCATATATATGATAATTGGCACAAACCATTATATACAGAATTTGTACATATACTCTCTAAATATTTGGCATCAATATAGAGCCTCACTCTCTAAATATTTGACATCAATACAAGAGCATTACTATTATCTCCTACTAGCCTAGCAAACGATCTAGCGGCTTAATTCCATGGGCGCTATGTCCTATCTTCCAGTACCCGTCTTTGAAGCTTGCATCGAAGGGGTTCTTCATCCTCATTGAAGGAAACCTGCAGTGGAACATTACGCCATTACGTAGATGAAACAGAATGGAAATAAGGCGGCCATGTATAATGGCAACCCATTCGCCGGCCGCCTGCGAATAAGAAATGGAACGTACGGGAATCGAATAAAGCAGGAAGCGATCGGGAGAGATGAGTTAGGATTGCCTTTGGGCTAGACTGGACACACACTATATAGGTTTAGATATGTTAGATGTTGTCCTAGGCCTTAGCCTTTGAGCACCAGGTAGTCACAAAGAATAGCCGAAAACATAAGTGTCGGTATAGAAAATGACCAACTAGTGAATATTTATAGTTTTGCCATACGTTGTGATCGGAGGTGGTCTAGCACTCAATGACGCATGATATATACTGGTTCAGGCAACGTGCCCTACGTCCGATGCAGGTCGGTTAGGTGAATTTATTCCCCGAGCCTGTGCTCAAGTCCGTAGTGGGGGGTTACAAATGAGAAGGAGAAAAGAGGGGTGTACGAGAGGCCCGGTCGGTCCGACCGGAAGGGCCGAGGGCGACCGGAACTCCGCTATGAGCTAGGTGTTCAAGCGTGTGCTTGAGGGGTTGCCGGTTATCGATCTAGTCAATCTAAACTTGAAGAAGAATCGTCCTTCTCTGTTTGGAGAGAGCACATCACATTTTATAGATAAAGGGATGGCTTTACAGGTGAGAGGGAGAGAGTACGGATGTTTTTAAGCCTTGTTGTCCACGCCGACGAGGGTAGCGATGATGGTAGGCGCCCACAATACTATTGACGTCACTGTAGAACGTCAAGTGCATGTGGGAGGTTGCGGTGGCTTCTTCAGGAAGGGTGGACATCGGTACCTGCAAAATACTGTTGGTATATGAGGAGCTCCACCACGTGTACCAGGTATGGTGGATCCTGGCGCCCCCTATCGATGCCCAGAGACATGGTGGGCCTTTTGTCGTATGGGAGCCAAACGACGCCCATAATACTATAGACACAAATATCGGCGCCTACAATACTGCTTGTGTCAGGGCGGTCGTGGAGCACTGTTTCCGCAGGCGTACAGGGTATGGTCCCAGTATCGTGGTTTTGACTTAGTGCGTTGTCTTCTCCGTTCGCCCCTTGTCTCTTCCGAGCGGGCGTCCCTGGTCGGATGGCTCCAGTCGGCCCTGGCCGTGCCAGTCGGAGACGAGCGGTACGCAGGCTTCCTACGAGTCCCCGGTCGGAGTCGCGGGGTCGGAGTAGGAAGCAGCGTTTTGGGCTAGACCTTCCGATCGGAGGGACCGCCTGGAGGCGGCCGGTGCCCGAAGCGAGCGTTCCGGTCGGAGAGGTGGGCCGAAGAAGTCGAATGAGCGGGCGTTTACCCTTTCGGGTAGGCCTCCCGGTCGGCGACCGGACTGTCCTCCCGGCCCGTTGTTTTCTAGACTTTCGGGCCGGCCCATGGACTGCATGCTGTTTTCCTAGGCCGAGCCCTGGCGTGGAAGCCGGTCCCCGAGGGACCCCGGGTTTATGAACCCGACAACAAGAGAAGGCAATCAAACAGAATATGGCGAAAGGTGTGAGGAAATAGTGAGGATAATTTAGGGTTCCATTCCTCATCCACCCCATCTATGATCCTCCAGGGGCTCTATTTATACAGGTTTGTAGGTTTTACAATGCCTAAAATGGCCTTCTAACTCATCCGGGGCATATCCCCCTACCCGAGGATGCTTCTCGTCTTTCCTCGCATGGGCCTCACCCGGGCGCAGCCTCGTCCAGGTGTCGTACGTGCCGTACCACTATGGGAGAGACAGGGACCACGCCGCTTCCGAGCCTTTATTTTGCTTCGCTCAACCCCGCCTATCCGTCTCCTTGCGAGATCATGAGGCGAGCTCCTGAAACGAAACATGGTTGGGTGTGACGTAAAAACGACAAATAAAGTTAGTGATAGTCGGCCCTTTGCAACTTTCGATGTCAGCCGCCTTTAATCGAAAAGACCTTTGAGGACAATGGCCCCCTAATCGAAATGACTTTCGCTCCTGGGTCGAAAAGAAATTTCTATCTGAGGGGCGGATAGCGGCGGGCAACTAGAAGTGCCCAACCGCCGGGTTGTCCCCTAACACCAAACCCATGCGGGGCTTAGTGGGAAAATTTCAGAAAATACTTTAATTAATTAGAATAAGCAGCTTTGAGATCTGTGTGATTTTTAGAAAAAGGGGTATCGGAGCAGTTCTCTGGCTTTGAACTCAAAGGACCGTAGCCGTCAGAATTTTTATTTTAATCTCCCCTGTTTCTTGTCGATGCTGTTCAGCCACGATTGTGGTGTTCCGTCTTGCCTTGTCAATATACATTCTTAAGTGACTAATCTTTTTTATATAATCTATCAAAGTGTTAAGTGGTCATTTTCCCCACGCGGCCACACTTCCCTTTCATATTCTTTTTATTATAAGCTTGTTACTAATCCTGTACAAGTGCACATACATGCCGATCTGTTTTGCTATCAAGTGATCTGTACGCTATCCTAAACCTGGCCCAGTACGTTGCGCAAGAAGAAAGCCCAGTCCAATGAGGCCCACTCCGGCAATTGTGTAGTCACCACCGCCGTCGCGCACGACACGACTCCATCCTCCTCCACTCCTACTGGGCCGGGGCCGGGGCCGAGCGTTGAGCCTAGCCCATCCCACTCAGCCGCAGTACACACGATGACACGAGCGGCGGACGGACACCGAACGGCAGGGAGGCCCCTTTGGCCTTATCCGCTCCGGGGCCAGTCGCGGCGTCGCGCTAGGATTCCCGTCTTGCTCGCTCACGGCTCACGCATGCTCGGCAGTCGTCACTCGTCACGCACGCTCTCTCCCCTCCCCCTCGCGCCGGTGCGCGGCAGTCGGCGCCCATCCCGTCCATCCGTCCGCCGGAGCACATCTCCCACCGCGGGCCGGACTCGCTCCTCAACCAAGTCTGAGGCCGACGGCCGCACGATGGCCTGCCCCGCCGCCACCACGTACGTACACTCCCTGACTCCCCCCATGCCTCTCCTCTCATGATTCCAGCTCGACCACCGTAGTTAGTACTCTTCCTCCCCAGCCCCAAATGACCACCATTCGCGACTCCTTCCCAATTGACTGGGTGCACTGGGCAATCCTTGCGCGTTGCTGCCTGCAGGGCTCGCATCGGAGCGCGGAGAGGGCCGTGCTTGTGGAGGAGCGAGAGGAGCGCCAGCATCCTCGTCGGTTCCGCGTCCATGCTCCCGGACCGCCCGGCCCGGGATACGAGGGCGCGCGCCTCGGAGCTGCAGCAAGCGCCACGACCGGCCTCCACTACCGTCGCCACGCACAAGGTGACCGTCCACGACCGCCAGCGCGGGGTCGTCTACGAATTCGTCGTGCCCGAGGTACACAGCCTCGCCCGCCCCCAACGCATTCCATTCTACTCCTGTGTTTCTCATTATCGGCCGGGGAACCGCCACTGACATGGGCTCATGGTCGTGGCAGGACCAGTACATTCTACACACCGCGGAGGCGCAGGACATCAGGCTGCCGTTCGCGTGCCGCCACGGTAGGTTGGCTCCTCAGTCCTCCGTACCCATCCACTCTCTGCCCTCATTTGCCACTCGCATTTGTGCTGTATACTGTTGGGCAGCGACTGAATTAGGCAAGACCTAAATATGATATTGATTTTGATGAGTTGACACAACTACAGACGAGATGACATTAACCTTCTGCTGATCAGATTGCTGTATACGGCTAATTGACTATTCATGGTGGTCTCATGACAATGGAACGATTTTGGATGTTCAGTTGTCGTTTCATAAAGATACTGACTTTGGCACCTTATTATCTTAACTCTTGATGAATTTGAAATCTGTAGTATCTCTATCGAATGCCATTTGATTATGCTAGTATGTTATTTAACTGTCCATGCATGGCACATGAGCCTTTATTTCCAGCAGCAGCATGCCTCATGGTTTGGCTCAATGACTGTCCCAAGCCAACAACTCCCTAGTCCGATCCCTACCAGTAGAACTGGACTATTTGCCTTCAAGTATAACTCATATGATGCAGTTAGAGATACTCCCTCCATTTCAAATTATAGTTCGCTTTAGTATTCTCCTAAGTCAAACTTCTCTAACTTTGATCATGTGGTATCTCTTTAGCAAGGTACATATTGCATGCAGTGCTCACTACACAGCTACACTGAAAAGCTGGAGCTGAATGAGAATGACCATGGGAGTACCAGATTTCTGCAAGCTAGAGTGCATGATATGTTCCGATATTCATGTAGTAACCATGAATGTATATGTTAAAGTAAGCCGTTGGGCGACTCATTATGCATGGCTAGTTAGTAGCAGCTACACTAATAAGTTCACGAATGCCAAGCATGTGTGCCTCCCTCGAGCTTGAAGCATCTTCATTTGTTCCAAACAGAGCGTGGTGAAGCATTGTCTTCACGATAGCAGTTGGCACTATCCTCATTCGATCCTTCCCCTTCCTACTTGCAGGCAATAACTATTTAGTGCTCTAATACATACTCTTGTATAAGATGGTGGTGCGAACTGAAGTGTGGTCATTCCTCATTCTCCTTTATGCTGATATAGATAGTGGCATCTGCGAGTGTGCCTCTCAACTGATCACACAAGTTTTTCTTGTGTTGGCGGTTTGATAGGACACCAACTGGATCCAAAATATAGTCCCTACATAGAATCCTTGTTTAAATCTAAACCCTCCAAGTTTTCCCATGCTCTATCTACTTGTAACAGAGGAGTGACTTGTAATCAAGAAGACAAATATTTTGAAATTCCCTCATTGTCAGACTTTGGTTACACAAATGATGTACCAACAGTATGTAGTTTTCACCTTGATCTTCTAAATCCATAGCACCAACAATCATGTACTTGTGCATGGGCTAGAGAGTCAATGAACATGGGGATACTCGACCCACTTGTGGCGGCCCTTTAACAGTTAGTCAAGAAACTGAGAGTGATGAGGTCAAGGATCTGGAATACCCACTTCTAATGTCTTCGTTTGGTTGAGAGCATCACCACTTTCATTGTCATGGTCATATTCATGGGAAATGCATCGTTGATCAGGTGCATATGTAGGGCAATCGCCGTGCTTCACACACTAACACTGTCAGATTAGGCGCCATGGTGGGTTGCATCCATCATTCATTTTTTTATGGTCAGGAAGATAAATGATTCTTTTTATTATGAACTTTTTTAAGCCATTACTTCACTGTACTGGTTTCAGTTTGGAACATGTAGGCAGAAGCATGTTGAAATCATTTGGGACTCTTCCTATTTGTCGGATACTTATAGCAACTATAAATTGAGAAAGAACTAAACATGGCATTGGCTTTTGATACATTGTGTAACTATGAATACCTTTTGTTTGGATAGCATCTCTTCTCTGATTATTTCCTGTGATCTAGATAACAATTTAATACTCATTTTGGTAATCAGGTTGCTGTACAAGCTGTGCAGTCCGAATAAAATCAGGACAAATAAGGCAGCCTGAAGCACTTGGGATATCTGCAGAACTAAAAGATCAGGTACATCCATTTTTTCTTCCGCTAGTTGGAACGTGATTGGAGTACTATGCCCATGCTATATCATTGTTCCCTGTGGACATGGTTTGGAAATGCGAGGTTGTATTTTGCTGTTAACCTATCCTCCAGTTTAGGCAGTTTCTGTAAGTTCTTGAATGTTCCTAGGAAATTGCTAGAAGCTTGATGCTTAACTATTGTGTTGCCTTTTTAGGAAGGATTATGATTACAATGTGACCCACAATTTAATTTGTATCTTTTGTGTTACAAATATGGCCATATTTTTTTTAATTGATGAGTAGTTATTCTTGGCCAAGCAACATAAAAACTAGATTCACCAATGCAAATCAGTTACCAATTCTAAAATACTACCCTTTTTTTTGTTCATGCCAAAATCGTACACTTTAGCTATGAATCTGGACAAATCCAAATTCATAGCTAAAGTGTCAACTATTTTGGGATGGAGGGAGCATTGTCCGATGTTGCCTATCAACTATGGTACCCAAGGATTACTGAGTTCTATTGTATTGTTTCCTTTTCAGGGCTATGCTTTGTTGTGTGTTGGTTTCCCATCTGGTGATGTTGAAGTCGAGACTCAAGATGAAGATGAAGTAAGCATATAGTCTAAACACCTTTTGTAATTAATTAATATCTAGCTCGATATGTAGTAGGAAATTCGCTCTACAAAACAAATTATTTGTCAATTTGCAGGTATATTGGCTCCAATTTGGGAGATATTTTGCACGAGGGCCTGTGGTGAGTAACAGTACTTCCTGATCCTCAAAGTGTGATTTATGGTTATCAGACACTTCACTAAGACAAAATGGACTCTTTTTTCAGGAAAGAGATGATTACGCGCTAGAACTTGCAATGGGAGACGAATGAGTTGTGCCTAAGAGGTCGTACCATCTCAAATTTGAATCCCTGGAGTTCTGAATATGTCGGTTATCTTTTTGTGCCACCAAATCTCACTCTCAGCTTTCTTTCCTTTCAGGGTCATGGTTGTACCCTTTGTTTCCGCGGTTGGTAGCATTTAGAGTCACAAGGACTCACTTTGTGACAGGAGGAAAAAAAAGTTTTTGCTCTGCTCCTTATTTTTCATGTCCTGTTGTCCCCTAGCAGCCTGGCGCGTGCAGTACAATATGCTCTTGTAAAGATGGCCACATCTCATTTTGACTCTGACAGATGACACATTATGAGGTGTGTAAAGTTGTAAACTGCCAGCATTCAATCTTCAGCGCGAAGCTACGAGTGGCTAACTTGAACTGTTTCAAGTCGTGCCAAGCTGTTGTGTTAGTTTGTTACAGATGAGTGGTTGCATCCAGGTTGCTGAACCTGAGCGGCCGAGCGCGAATGAAATATTGGTGCTCACTGTGTACCGAGCCGACCTGCCGCGGACAGGGTGCGGCAGGTGCCTGTGGCTTGGCTCCAGTCCGTGCTGGGTCTGCATGAATCACTCCCCTCGGAAGTCGCAACGACGTGGGCGCCTAGACATCCGGGCGCAGCTCCAATGTCTGCATCCGTGTCACACTTGGCGCTCCCGCACTTGCAACAGATCCCGGGCCAGTGAATCACGTCTGGTTGCCCGCGATCCATTTCGCGCAAGTGACCGCGTTCGGCCATCCATGACTCAATCCCATTCTGGCTGCGCCCCGGCGTCAAGCCCGCCGCGCCGCTCCTCCCGCCGCGCCCCCATCATCTACGGCACTTTGTCTCGCCGCGCCCCATCCCCCATCCTAACGTCTCATCTTCTCTGCAACATCCGTCCGACCGTTGCAACATATGCAGTATACTATTGAAACATACATGTATAGTCATTGCAACATTCAGATGAAACACATGAAACATGCGTCTAAAACAGCTGAAACATTTGGAGCATCGAGAAAGAGGGGGAGGGGTTGTGGATGCCCAATGGGAGCTGGGAGGAGGAGACACCGAGGTGAGGCAGCAGAAGACGAGGAGGGGGATACAACACCATATCTACATTTGAAACATCGAAAAGAAACATTTGCAACATACATCTGGAGACAGATGAAACACTTAGAACATGCGTCTGAAACACTTGAAGAAGAACTTGAAACACTTGAAAATCCATTGCAAAGCGTATACAACATCCAGATCCAGATAAAATACTTGCAACATATGTGTGAAACATATGCAACATTCAAATAAACACATTTGCAACATACGTATAAAAAACAGATGAAGCATTTGGAACAGACGCTTGCAACATACGTGTATAGCCATTGCAACATATGTAACGTCCCTATCTACTTTTGCAACATTCATATAAAACACTTGCAACATGCGTATGAAACCCCTAAAATACTTGAAGCATACGTTTGAAACATGTCAGGCGCGACACTCTAGTGGACGGCGACCGCCATGTCTGACGAGCCTTGAGGCGATCGCGAAGTACGGCACGGCCACGATGCCCTTGCTATCTCTAGCTGGCAGGAGGAGGTGATGAGGAGGACGCTAGTGCCGGCACCGACGATGAGGCAGCGGATGTGCGGAAGAGGGACCTTGTACTGGTACCCGTAGGGGAAGCCAACCGAGGATATGAGCAACACCACGGGCTTAGGGGAGCTTGGAGAGAGGCCGCGTGGCAGCGGACGCCGTGGTCACGACGGTGAGGGGTGGACGGAGCAGGACGAAGGTCGTAGCGGCGGCGAGGGCCACAGTGAGGAGCAGGAGCGGGGGCAAATGAGGGCTGGGTGTGGCCATGGAGGAGGAGAGGAGAGCAGCGTTGGGCCACGACGAGTCGTTGGGGGTTCGGACCTCGACTGAGTGGGGTGGAGACGCCATCGACGAGCGGTGCTTGGACTGCAGGACTTAGAGAGAGTGGGAGTGGACTGGATCTGGCAGAAGTAGAACGTGTGTGCGGCTTGCGGCTGGCAACTTGCGGAGTGAGAGATTTTTATTTTGGGAGGAAGCGTGGAGTATCAGATATTTGTGGTGGATACAATAAGTGGATGACGTGAAACCACGTAGCGTTCGGCGTCCGGACACCCTAATCATAGCGTTACCTAAGTCGCAAACCTGAAATTCTAGTCGGGAATAGCAAAGCTTGTCATGTGCAAAATGGTCAGTGACCAAGCTTCAGTAATCAGTATGAAGGGCCTGCTTTTTTTACTTCTAAGTTTTTCATGCCAAAGATTTGGCAAGCCAAAAGTTGGATAAAAAAATTGTCATAGAGTTAGGCCAAATGTGAGAGTTTGGCAAGTTTTTTAGCAATCCAAATGCTAACCAAAATCATGGCTTGCCAAATCTTTAATATGACAAATTTTGAAAACGGACCAATCAGGCCCTAAATGCGCGAGAATTTTAAATGGATCCTAGTCTTAGAAGTTAATCAAATATCTTAAATGTGCCCAAGTTCAAATTTTGTCTCAGGTAGGCCGTGCCCTAGTGATATCGAATGGCAAATGCTTTTGATGAAGAAAAAAGTTCACATTACCTCCTTCAACTTTCGCGAAAGTCCGTTTTCTCTCTCCCTGAACTCCAAAATCGGGCAAAACACCTCCCTCAATTTTTTAAAAACGTTCATCTTACCTCCCTGACCCCGTTATAAGCAGTTTTGAAGGCGGTTTTGTCTTTTTCTTTTTTATTTATTTTGGCTGAATCTTTGAAAAATCATAATAAATCATAAAAAAACCATCAAATGAAAAATCCAATTTTGTTGGATTCTATATGAGCAGATCTACACAGTGAACATATAATATGGTATGTTTTAGTACAAAGTTTTTGCTGTGGCTTTAGATCTATGTTTTTCTGTAATTAATTAGAATAATTCATAGATGCAGTTTCTATGGTCCAATTGTGATGAAATTTTTATGGTGGGCTAATTATTGTATGATTGAACTGTAGTAAAAATTTCATACTCATTGGATCATGTATATCTTAGTTATAGATTTATTTATATTTAACGAGTATAAACCTAAATGAGTGAAATCGGGGGAGGAATAATTTCCAGAGCCCATCCAGGCCGTTGAGTGAAATGAGTCCAGGAGCAGATAAGATGGGACAAACGCAGCTCTCGCCACGGGCGCGCTTGCCAGTCGCCACCGCGATGCTACTGGCGCGCGCCCCGCCGTCTCCGCTGCCGCTCTCGGCGGCGGCCAAGTTCCCGGCGAACCTGGAGCGCCCCCTTCGCCTTCGCGGCGTGTCCTCTTCCCGTGCCGGCGTTACTACGGCCGCTGCCGCGGCGAAGCCGGCGGCTTCCTCCCTTGGCGGGCAAAAGCGCAAGCAGGTGGCGAGCGTGACGAACCCGCTGGTGAAGCACTGCGTCAAGCTCCGGCTCTCTGCTGCATACCGCCGCTCCTGCCGCCGCCTCCTCCTCGTCGGCCTCGCCCCCATCCTGTACTCCTCTGCAACTCCAGGCCCTTGTCGTCTTACCTGTCCTGCGAGGCTTCTCTTCCTAAACCTGTGCTTCTGCCCCTTGTTACAGGGAGGTGTGTAGTTTTGAGCTCGACACCATCGATTACTTGCTTCTCCTGGACGGCGTAGAGGTCCCGGAGGCGCTGCGCGAGTTCTCTGGTGATGTCGTGTATGTCAGCGCCGCGGTGATGAAGAAGGTGTCCGGGATGCAATCGATTGATTCCACCGAGGCCATTGCTGTCATGCACATGCCTAACCATTTCCGCGACCTCAGGAGACATGAGGATGGGGATGCTCTTGATGGGCTGTTCAGTGATCCAAAGAGGATTCTAGTCCTTGATGGGATTCAGGTGAGGATATGCAGTACCCACCAAGACCACCATTGTGCAGAGAGATGATTGCTGTCATTCTTTATACAGTAGAATGCAAAGCATAATTCAATCCATGCATGCTGTTTTTGTTTGAAGCAAATGTAGTTATGCACATATATCCGTTCAGTGGGTCTCATGCTAACCATGGTGCCCCTACCTTGCAGGATCCTGGTAACCTCGGAACACTGATAAGATCAGCTTGTGCTTTCAAATGGGTATGCCATATTCTTTCCTTAAGGTCACTTATTGAAGTATGTCAGACTGTACTACTGCTGCATTGCATAGTGTTAAATAATCTATTGCCACTTTACCATAGAGTTTGAGGAATGCCACTAAATTTCATTGTGCTCCAGTTCTCCTTTGCTAAAAAGAAATTGATTCTGCTCTTATGTAAGATAGGATGGAATGTCCTTATCTGATTCCAGTACACAATATTTTTTATAAATTTACACAATACATGATTTATATGTATTAGCTATCTCCGGTAGAGAAAACCAAACACTCTCTAGTATTTGCTGTTCCAACTCTGCACTTCTAACAACCTTTAAACTCAAATGCCATCAGGATGGAGTATTCCTTCTTCCGGCTTGTTGTGATCCTTTCAATGAAAAGGCTATTCGTGCAGCCCGTGGAGCCTCTTTGCAGCTTCCTATTGTCTCTGGTACCTGGCATGACCTGCATGCATTGATGACAAAGTATGGTATGAAGATGATGGCAGGCCATCCAGAAAGTAGCAGTGATGCATCCAAAGAAATCTACTCGCTGTCCAAAGAACTAGCTGATTCACTGTTGAATGAGTCTGTGTGCTTAGTGTTAGGAAGTGAGGGCAATGGCCTCTCTGCAGAGACCCTCCAGGCATGTGAGCTTGTAAACATTCCAATGGATGGTACTTTTGAATCTCTGAATGTTTCAGTTGCAGGTGGTATATTTTTGTTCATGTTACAACCCAAAGATCAAATAGACAGAAGAACTTCAACCCCTTAACTTTGCGTCTGTTTCTATTGCTGTTATCTTCTTGTTAACTTTTCTTTGCTTTCATTTCTCTGGTTGTTAGTTTCTATCTTCACCGTTGATGCTGATTCAAAGTAAAGGAATATTTTGTTTAATCTAGTTTACCTTTTGAGGGATGAGAAA